AAACATTTTAGTCAATCACATTACTTCACCTAACTTACTAACTAACACAATCTTACTTTAGTTGCTGTCCAATTAACCTTGTTTCTATATTAGACCATTCTTCTATTATCTGATCAATTATTTAAACTTGACAAACCTTATGTATACACACACAAATAATTATATATAAATGCGATTGTACATCTATGTGAATAAATTCGCCGAAAAGCTTCTCTTCGCTGAACGTCTTCTCTTTTTCAAATGACTCAATGGAGATTTTCAAGCTAGTCAGAAATTAGTTGACCTATGTCTAAACACGCAGAAGGATTGAAGTATTTGTATTCATCAGTTCAAAGAACTCGCACTCGCTTAGTAATATACAGTCAAACTGAATTCCGTCTCAACGTTTTAATATTAGATTGTACGAAAGAAAGAATAGACTATCAACAGAGTTTACTCTTAGAATCTTCCATCATTTCCCAAAAGAGGATAAACCACTATCACCTCACTGGTACGGAAAAGGTATTCCTCAGAACACCTTAAGTGCATAACTTTTTATTCACTGTTGTTTGAGCTTTACGTCAAAATTTGAGAGCAATAGTTAGATTTATAGTTCCATCATATTTATCATCCTTCTGTATACCAGTTTTATTGTAATACTTGAAATATATAAAAAATTACTGATCATTATTCATAGTTCGTTTTTTGAGCCTAAGCTATATAACACTACTCACTAGCAACAAATAATTTCCATCAAAAATCTTTACATCGCAGTCGAAACTCTTGTACACCTTTAGTCTTTATTGCGTCACAGTTTGTAGATCCTGATCATTTTGGCTTATTCACAAGATGAAATAAAGCTAACAGAGTTCAGAAAAGTGGTTAAAATGCAAACAGAGTGAAGATATTTTCAGAATATCATCAGTGTGAATTTAAAAAAATTGTGGAATACCATTTTGTCAGTAATTGAAGACAATATAGCTTCTTTAAATCCTCGATATACAAGTAACCGTCAATGTTTTAACTAACCCTCATTACCTCAACGTACTGCTACATCATGAAAACTGTTTGTTGCCTAAAATGTTTCGAATGACTAATGGTTGTAAGCACCAAAGTTGGTTAGGTGGAGTGCATGCCTGTACCTCGCACTTTTGATATAAATACTCGTGAAACACTTTCCAATAAGTTTATTTCATATGACACAGCGATACTGTATTCATCACCAGATGATACCATGTTATATTATCAGAATTGCAAAAAATGAATTTTGTCGACAATTCATCGGATATTGTGTCGGAAGATTCAGTTGTCTTCTATCACTTCCTATTTATGACGAACAGGAACTGTTACTTTTAGATGAGAATCGGCTTTATACAGATCAGTGTATTGTTCTTCAGCATCGGTTTTCTGCGATCGATAGTCAGTAAACCATATCAAATCTTTCAACTTAATTGTCATGAATTGAATGTGCTGTGCTCTTCGTGTTTGTATCATTCGACATTTTGACGATTATGTGATACTTCGTGTCTACGAAATGAATCAACTGTCTAGAAAGGTATTTTAAACAAATCCGATTAGTGCAATATTTTGATCTTTGCTATTTTATCAAAGTGTCTTACACTAATAAATAACAAAATAACGAATTCGCTGAAGTCTGATTTAGTCTGTCTGTTACGTGACTAAGAGGAGGAGTATAACCAGCTGTAAGTTCTCTGCGATATTGTTCCTTTCTTTCTTATATTTGCTGTGCCAGTAGTATTAATACATTTGATATGACATAAGTGACATGATATAGCAGATATCTTGATGCACACTTCACCTGAGCTTCACTTGTGCCTAAACGATTTAAAACGTGATTGAAGGGACAAGTGAGCACAAAACTGCAGGCAAATTGTTTATTTCTGGTACTTATTATTGGCATGTTCAATCTCCGAATGAGTCACTGATTTCTCTAGAAGCTAGATGAACTGTAGCCATCAGTTGGATAAAAGGTTCTAGGAATTTAGAATGTAAAGATAACTGAATTATATCGTTCAGAGTCCTCCCGACAAACTTATGCTGCTAACTGTTGTATACTCAAAATTGCTTGAGAAGGCTCAGTCAGAAGACACTCCATGGACAGGAAACAGATGAATATTCTGAAATAATTCTGAGGTTTTGCTTAACAAAGCCATCATCGCTCATGTGCATACAGGTGATCTGCTTGGATTTTGAGTTACCGAAAATACCATTTTCCAATAACACACGTCTTATTTATAACCACATCTTTTAAAAATCGTTCCAATCTATCGCTTTGAGTAATCCTCTAAAATTGAGAAAAAAGCACCACGCTAGTTGGCGGCATGCATTAAAACGTACAGAAATAAATCGTATGACTGACCTCAAAGGTGTTAGCACTAATTGCAGGCAAATGCCTAACAAAATGGACTAACTCCATTCTCTAATTTCCTCAAATGTGCATGGAAGTGTCAGTGTTTTAGCTATACATGATACTTGGCTCAACCAGAAATATGGCAACAATCTATCCTCGTCAAATTGATTTTAAATTTTCCATCAGGACAGGCATAGTTTAAAGAAAAAGCATGGTGGAGGAGTAGACACTTCTAGTAATACAAAGTGATCTACATCTAATCACGTTTGCTTCAGGTTTTTAATGACAATGTAAACTGTATCACTGTGAGTTGTCTTCGGAAGCACTTAAGTAAATATTCCTACATATACATGACAAATGTTAACATGACTTCAGATAGCATTTCCTTTGATAAACCCAAATCCGCAGACAAACTTACTGAATTCACAGCTCCTATTTTTAAAACTTCCTTGTCTACAGTACGTGGAGACCTTAAGTCTTGCGACCACAGCTTTCTCTTGTGATCAAGCCACAAGAACCTGGTCAAACCCAATACCCGCATAGACCGAAATTTAAAATTGGTTTTCTTGGACGGTTGTGACATACATGAGGTGAGAAGGAGAGCTCCATTGCTGAATTCTGGCCACCACATCATTCTTAATTTACCAAAAGTGTATGGCAGGTTACACAGAAGGACTTTTGTCCACCTGACAAAAAAAATCCGAGTGTGATCTTATTCACATAGCGAAATTCAGGCACTAAGATATGTTGTATTATACTGACTGGGACGTATCCTCTGATGAAGTGTCAGATGCTATTGTCTCTAATGTCAACTTCTTTCTCAACTTGTGTCGCCCTATCACTCAAATCTCTAATGCATCGTTTCACTGGGATACAGGACCTGTTGTGTGGAAAGAAATAAAAGTGATGCTTGTTCCAAATTCGTCTTCTGAATCAGGTTTAGGCCGATCGCCATCACGCCACTACTTTAAAAACAATGGAGAAACGTCTGTTGCATATTCTCCAGGCTTTTTAAAGTCGTTTACTGACCAGAAGAAGTTTGCATACAAATCCAGTAGAATCAGAGTAGATGCAGTTGTTGAACTTGACCACATTGTTGTTTCAACTCTTGATAAAAACAACAAGTTTCTGTTCGAGCCTACTCTTTAGACTACACTGCTGCTTTTAATTCTATTCCCAGTACAGTTTTGCTAAGCAGGCCGATTTCAGCAAACGCTGAGTCCTAGGTCACAAGCTGGCTATCTTCCAACTTATCGGGTAGCGCTCCATTTCGTTATTAGTAAGGACTGGTGTCACACAGCTCCACCGTACTCTTTCCATTCTTTTTTCTTTCTTTCTGCATGACCTTTTAATGCGAATTTCATTTAATTTACCAATGATCTAAACACCTGCCTGAAATCCTGCAGATGTCTAAGAAAACCCTTCCTTTGAGTATCACGTGGAGAAGTTCAGACATTCTAGCATAACTCAACCTCTTCTCTTACAATTTGTTAATTAAGGCATTCTGTTCATCCTCATAAATTTATCACCACTGATCTTCTTTGGTGGACTTCTCCAAAAGAATTGGGTCGCAATACGTAGGCAAAGTGAAGACTGTAAGTAGGGTAAGTGGTGCGCCTTTAACGCAACCAACTGACGTCATTGTCAATAGGCACTTTAATTCTTTCAAGCATTTAGCAAAAGTTATCTTGTTTGATACTGAACATCCCCTTCATTCTCAACACACTCCTTGTGCCACTTCGTGAAAAACCAAAAGAAAATTCATGAGAAGTTATACTGGTGCAACTATATATGAAAATTCCAATATAACATAGTTAGCAGGGGTTTTGTTTAAAGGGTCAGACGTAAAAAAGTGCTTATAAACATTTTAAATAGGTATTTTTTTTCTTCACATTCCCCAGTGGAACAAAGGGCTTCAAGCTAGTGGCTTGAAGTTTCTGTAGCAGTGTTTATTTTACAGGATGGGGTTGCTAGCCTCATGCCCAACCTTTCCTCTTCACCAGCATTATTTCTGGCTTAGCGAAGTAAAGGAGTGCGTCGGCCGGGGATCGAAGTTCGGACTATGTGCACGGTCGGCAAGCGTCCTAACCGCTATACCACCGACGCCTTTTAAATAGGTAAGCAAACTTCAAAGTATGAGCAAAGATTATTATTCAATGTGTTATGTGTGATACTATCTAATTATACTTCATTATGTTTCCACAAACACTCTGTTTATAGTGGTTTCATTTTAAATATTATTATTATTTCAACTTTATGTATGTAGACATTCATAAAAGAAGCCTAATTGCCGCAATATGCATAAGAGCTTTGAACATCTCATTCTGTATAATTAATTATTGTTTGGAATAAAGTGATTGTTAAAAAAGATTGAATATTTTATTCAGTCCTCACTGTCGTAATATTTCCTTTCCATTTATATTCAGTTGTGTTCTCCGACTTAGTTGATTTAATCGCGAGGCATTCATCCTCCTTCTGGAAAACATCTACAAAGGAATCTTTAGAATACAGTGGACATATTTCAATTCTCCCTGAAGATGTTATTCAGAAGGCCGACAAAAGCTTTGCATTTAAACCAACCATTTTAGTGATCACAACCGTATAAAAATCATCCCACTGAGCTGAAATTCTTTTCCATCTTCTCCTTCAGATGAACTCAACGGAAATAAACAACATGCTTAGGCAGATTTTCAAGTATACCACCTCCACTGAAATGGAACATGGCGATATTTCGGACGTACATTTAATCGTAGCATTCATAGCCGTGTAAGTTTAAATTTGTTTAATTTGCAACTTTCTGCTGGAAGTTTTATTTGAATATTTAAGCCTCATCGGGAGATGCAGTTTTCAGATAACTGACAGTTGGAAGAAAAATAACTTAGGTTTAAATCCAAATACGTTGAACCCATCAGCGATCGCTCTGTAGCAGAATACAACCTAAGCATTAGTGACTCAGCAAGCCTGTTATTACAAAATATACTCTGAAATGTTCTACTTCTTTTCTCATGATTAGTGAAATCATTCCATCCTGATTGTTCTTCTAATCAAATCTGACTTTAAATAATAAATGTCTTTCACCTATCCTTAAACTGCAGTGCTCATCTCATATCCACTAGCTTATTTGAACCAATTTCGCGTTTTTCCAAAAATAGTTTCACATATCCAACGTTCCCCTTCCTCTACCTCTTCCACGTCCTCTTGATTTGAAACCAGACTTTCTTGGCACATTTGCATCGCCTGCCAAGTCAATAGGTGACTTCGTTGGAGCCATCCATGGACCCTGACCTCTGTCTCCACGCATCGCGCCCAACTCTTCTCTGCCTGATCCGCGGCCATGAACAAAAGTACTGGTTGGTTCCTCTGTCTCCTTCACTGCGAAGTTCTGTGCATCCTCGGATGACACAGGTGGTAGATCTGTGGCACTTCGAGACTTTGGAGGTCGAAGGGCAGCCTTCGGGACTTTTGTATGAGCTCTTGCCGTTTCAACCTTGGCAGGTATAGCCTGCTGTTGTTGCTGCTGATGAGCATGAGAATCTACTTCTTCGTTTTCTCTGCTCGTTTGGTTTGTAATTTGGATAGCAGTATATCCAGGTCCTCACTATTCAAGGTATCATCCAGAAATAGTGAGAACCTGCTCTTCACGTCGACCAAATACTGGTAGGCGTGGTCAACACCAGCTATGACTACAAACCACACCATGTGAAAAGGTTCAACAACAAACACTGAGCAGTAACGTTTATTGCACGAAGGATTTCTTCATTGTGTGACGGCTAAAATCGACTCGCTGTGGTCTAAACTCAGAGAATCCGTCATTCGGTTCTCGCGTATTGCTGTGGAAACGTTCAGTCACAAACCTCTCGAAGGGCAGCAAAATGACCGTAGTTAAGGATCGCAATCTACGTGTGGTCCTGTTAAACAGTAATATTATCAGAAACTCAAAACAACCTCCATAGTGCCACCAGGCATCCATACAAGCAATAAGGGTTTCTAAGTACAAAACAAGCACTTTAAAACAAATTATATAACCAATATTCAAGTAAATGAAGTCCTTTAGAAATCAGGTAGAATAGTCCCAACAATCTGAGATCAAAATCTCTGTCCACAGAATCACACATCAACACTTCCTATGGACTGTCTGAGGCAAGAATAATCTGCATTAGCTCAAGCGAAATCACAAGGTTAAACGACACAATATCAGTGTACACACAACCACGAACAGAATCACTAAACTTAGAGTATAGACTAGGGATGAAGACAAATAATAAGGATGAAATGAACACATGATATGCAAATGTCAAAATAATGATATACAGTATGAGGGATAAACGGATTATAGTCACAAGGTTAGTTGCAACGTCCGAATTGGTAGAAATCTTGAGATTGAATAATTTGTAAAAGGGTTTTCGAAACAAGACTTCAAATTATAACATACATTAATATGTGCACAATCTCTGTTTTTTATCTTTCAGTGTGATATGTATGTTGACGCTTATACTGCTGTTTATCGACAGGCAGTTCCATTTTCTTCCACAACCATTTGCCTTTGCTCTAATTACATTGATGGTATGTTTGTTAATAGTAAGACCCTAAAAAATGATATCCCTGTTGAATCTTAAAGATGGCATGTTTACTTTCTCTTGATTTTCAGGTGACATAACCACAAGTGGCAATCATTTAGAAATGTAGTTAAGAAAACAATTGTATTTTACTTTGCTAGCAGACAGAATAAACTGTAGTGTATTACTTATGAACTACTGAGGACAGAATGCTTGTTGAATATATACCAGGCCCTTATATGCAACACGTATGAGTTATACTTCTTCATCTTTAGAAAATCAGTAATTTTTCTCAACTCTGAGATGTTTGATCGGTATGTTGGAAGATAACTCAAGGAAGAGGTTCTCTCCTATTCTGTTTTATTAGAAATAAGGCAGTATTATTTTCCAGACAGAAGACGACATGCAATCGAATGCTCATTAATTTGAAAGTAGACATAATTTATGAAAACCACTGCAGCCGAGAAATCTCATCTGCTCAAGTGATTGGTGAGTGGCGCATCAACAAATTTTCACATGTGATTCAACTTCCTTGATAAATTGGTTCATATTAACCAGAGAGGACGGCGTAAAATGCCGAGCAGTTTCGTGGATATGAAATTTTAAACTACCTTGTCCTCTCACTGATGGTTTCTTGAAGTGATTTCTCACTCTTTTTCGATTTGTCTCCGATGTATAATGAATCAAGCTTAATATTATTTTTTTTCTCCTGATTCTCCAACCAGGTTCTACTCTGGTTAATTGCTGACTCATTTCTATGCTGCAGCAATAACCTTAAGGCACTGAATGCATTTATCGGTGTTTCTGTTACAGTACACGTACTTGTCGGCTTTGCAGCAACTTACGTTAAAAAAATAAACCTAAATTATTGTATCTCACTGTTGACACTTGCTACAGCAATGTTTTTTGCCGGCGTAGTATGTTTTTTTCTGGGTAGCGCTGATGTAAGTGAACAATGATTTCGATACATATGATTCCTGGAATTTTTTATTTATTTCGTTTTCCTAAAATTATCAGCTACGCATCAATCACAATATGACAATAAGTTTGACTTTACGTGTTCAGTACTTGTCTCAATGTCCTAAACTTCATTTGTTCCAGTGAAATGTATATCTCCTTTTAATTGTGTTCCGCAACTCGTATTCCATAACTCTGTTGAAACTAACTTCTGCAGATTTGCATTAGTTCTACTATCCAAAGAACATCTGTAATAACATATGGCAGTGTCGTCTTCTGCTTAACCTTTAGTCAAGGAAACTAAAACAGGTTTTGTTGCTGACATAATTATTATTACTTCAGGTGTTATAACAAAATCTGTCATCCTTCTGAAACAAATTATTCTGAATGATTCCAAGATCAGTAAGGAAACATATAGGAAAATGTAGGTCAACTGCTTCTTCCGGCCTAGTGTTGAACTTTTAACCAGTCCGCACCTATAGGTGGCCCAATCCAGGACCATCCAGTTATATCGTGATCTTGTAAATCAATAGATCGCCGAGACACGACCGAGTGGCTCATGGATCCCACATTGCACACTCATGAAATAGGGCGACTACTGGTCGAAGTCATTGACGGGTATCTGTCTTCAAAACCAACATGCTGTAACCAACTAAAAGAAATCTACACACTGATAAGTTTTAACAAGTGTATTTCAACAGTTGTCGGTAACCACCAAACCCAGTGACATTATTTATTCCTGATTCAATTTTGATTTTCCCGTTCACTGACTGTACTGAAATGTTGGCCGCTTATGCGAATGTATCAAAGATGTCTGATGTTTTCACCTGGAGTATTTCGGTGGATGCTGACTAGCAGTGGGATGCAGGATGCACATTTAACACAACTCCCCGGTGTTTGAAACAATGGGTACTGTGCTCAAGTATTAGTGAAGACACCACTCCTCACCAGAGAATGTAGGCATATCCAGCTGAGTCCCAAATACAACAAAGTGTGCACCGTGGATTCCACTGCTAGTTGCAATCCACCAAATTACTAAAACACATTTAATCAATCGCGAATGTGATGCCACTAGTGATCTAATCACCGTGTAACAACATTTGTTATTACATGTTCAGAAAGTTTTCTTCTTTCGGCTGTTAACATCCCCTTCACAATAAGGGCTTTTGACCAACATACTGTCAACTGAGCACTTTAGGAGTTTGACTTTATGTTGGAATCAGACAGATTTGAGTTCTTTAATCACCATGAGTAACGTCAAATGAAAGATTCATCTTTTCATGATTCCGGATATTTCATATCAAACATTTGTCGCTTGTTCCATTTTTTCATCAATAAAAATCATGTTGCTCAACAAAGAGGCCCTTTTCGGGGAATTCACTGTGCAATCCCATTTACACATAATTTCTCCATGGAAGAGGATAGTAAGAAAAGTGAGGAGTTGACACAAACACTATTGTGTACATTGCTCAACGCACAAAGAAACGATGGAAATTCTGGAATAATCTCACAAATCTGATGAAATACAAGACCTATAAGGAGTAAGAAAAGCTAACCAACTCCCTTCAAAGGCTGTGTTTTCGATTGTGGATCGCATTGTCATATAGCGGTTGAATAAGGCTAATAACAGTTATGACTATGACTGTTCAACAATTTTGATACCAACCAATTTCCTGGCGAAATTGTGTGCAAATCCGGTTGTACCGGTTAAGCCAATGAGCACTCTGAAAAGGACCTCTTGTCTCAGCGACGTGTTTTGATTTCATTGATGTCTAAATAGGAATTATTCATGAAGTCTTCCACATTTTATTTCAGCATGTGTTCCATTGGCTGGCTGGTGCATGTTGGAGTGCTACTTCAGCTATTGTGAGTCATTTATTATACCTCAACATAGTAAAATTGTTATTATTTAAACGACCTTATGGCTGCTCACAGATCAATAATAATTGATAAACAAATGCAGCAGTTACACGAGAGCTGTCATTCAGCAAAGAATGTGCTTTCCCTGAATTCTCATAAGTGTTTTGCATATTTAAAGTTCTTTGTAAAGTCCATCGAAAGTGGCGGCAGAAATCACTTATTACTCGTAGCTAGTAACTACTCGTATTTTATGATATTTGAGAAACAAAACTATTGGATAAATTACGAGATTTGATTATTTAATCTTAAATAATCTGAAAAGATTAAATGAAGAGCGTGTTCATATATGGCTGGCATTAGAACTGTTAGCCTTGGAAACAGACAAACTATTCATAAGAGTAAGAGTTTTACAATATGCCTAGCTTTATTTAGATGTTACGAAAATATTATTCTTCGTCAACTTTTGTTTTCTTAGTATATATCACAGACAATTACAATTCAGACTCACTAGTAAGCCAGAAGATTTATACAATGAAATCAGTGAAATAAAGGAAATATTACTGCTGAAGAACTTCCCACAAGTATTTATTCAGAAATATGAGAAGAACCACAGAAAAAATTAGATAAATAGTAAAAATAAGAAAAATAAGAAAATTAAGATTGAATCCAAAGTCTGTGTAGTACTACCGTATAAAGAAGGAACGTCACAGGCCTCACATAGCATTCTCAATGAGGCAGCATTTAGGGTGGTATTTGAAACGACCAACTCTCTAAGCGTTTAACTTTGCCGGCTTTAGGTCCCAATAGATCTAATTGAGAAAAATAATATAATCCAACAAGTACCATGTAATGATTGTTAGTGAGGTGAATTACATAGGTCAGATTAATAGATCGAGGTCAACTAGATTATTGGAACAAATAAATTTAGCTGGCCCAGAATGATTTATTTTTTATTTTTTTATTTTTTTGATTACAGCTTGATTCCACATTGTTTTTTGGTACAAGTATGGAATTTTCAGCGTGGATATCGGTAGCCCAAATTTTGCAGGCCGACCATAGATATCAGGTGTGCGTCGGCGGGGGCTCGAACCTCGGATCATGTGCATGGTCGGTGAGAGTCCTAAACACTGTGCCACCGACGCACCCTACTTAGTGGAATAACCTAAAAATAGCTCGGCCACTGGATCACAGTCATTTTCGCATAAACACAACGGTGAGACAGGATGAGAGTATTCGAAAGTGATATAGTTAGGTGGAGAGAGGAGGTTTAATTACTGAATCATCGTCCATCGAATCAACACTATGCACGCGAAATCAGAATAACGTAACGCTTATACTGAAGATTTGGAAAGTAGTGACAAACAACATGGAGTAGTTGGAGGGAAAACATGTGACTAAATTGATATGATTTTGAGTAATATCTTATACCCAAAATGTCATGCAGTTATCAATACTGCTCCTTTCTTTGATATTTAAAACAAACTCATTCAAGAAAGAAGTGAGTCATATCAAATGATTCCCTCGATAGCGCATGGTGCTTGCAGTTGGTGTCTGGTTAATTACATCACCTTTGTCTTTTACATGTTCATCTGAAGTTCTGCTCTTGCTGCTATTCTGTCACTTCTTTTAGATTTCGTTTGTTAGTCTTCCAGTTTCTGTGAAATGAGCGAACTCTATGTCCTCTTAAGTCTTCTCGTCGATTCAACATATCTATGTCTTTTCGCTTCCCACAGTCTACCATATGATCAAATCCACTACAGTTAAGAATGCCACCGATGAGAGTAGACAGCGGTGTTTTACTTCTGTCCCCAACTCAAAAGCTGAGTTTTCCGTTGCGCATCACTTGACTTGTGGCATTATCATATGGCTGTTGACTAGGGCTAATAAAGACTTGTATGACGCCATAGTGTTGAAGTGTTTTAAATTGCTTCTCTGCCAAAGTTGACGGCATCAACTACACTGACTGTAGACACATAAATTACAGAAAGTATTCATACTAATCTCTCCACAACTTTCTGGCACAAATGTTCCTTATGGTCAATGAAAACAATTCACGTAGTTGATGGTGAACGGTGCAATAAATTCTTAACACGAATCACAAAGAAATGCCATCTGATCAGGAGGTGAAATCACAAAGAGAAGCAGAGCGTAATACATCAACACAGTAATGCATTAAATTTTGTATTGACTGAGAACAATTTTCTCAAAGTGCTGTTATTCTTTTTAAATTTTGGTATGAAGGAAGTTCCAACTGTTATCCAAATCATGAGAGAATACAATATGGCTATCAGCATTACTTGTTTTGTGTAAGTCCTCGCAAAGACGTTACGCGCAAATAATAAACAACAATGGGTGAATGTAAATTTCAGGCATTTGTCAACATCTTACGCAAAATAATGATGAGTGTTTATATTTTTTCTCACATGAAAATGTTTTGACTATGTAAGCCATGTATATATGACACGTATTTCATCTTATCAAGCGCCTTATGTACAATCATAGAACTGTTGGAAATATCCTTCGGATTGTCGAAATTCAAAATATTTCATTGAAATATGAAACGAATTTGTAAACAGCGGTAGAGTGTAATTCCAATGTGTGTCAAATTTGTTTTGATAAAGTCTTAAGTGTTATACAGTAATATTTATTGATAATGTTTCGAGGACATTTTATTGCTCATAATCTCACAACTTTCTAGATTCGTTTATTCAATTCCATTATTTTCCATCGCCTGGTTTGATTAGTGGTAGTGTTTTCCATATTTCCGGTATGAGTGATGAGTTATTCCCATTGCACGTGCTGGATGTACAGTCGATAAACCAGGCAGGATTCAGTAGTCAGCCTCTCTCCCCACCTACCTATTTCCCTTCTTAGAATTGGACTGTACTCCGCCCTATTGTGTAGTTGTGTGTTAATGCATGCAGTGCGATTGCTGAGTTCTTTCTAAATTACTTATCTTCGTGGGATCAATCATTCTAACCTTAGCTAATTTCTTATTTACTGATAATCTCACTACTCTGATCTACTATTTTGATTTATGTAGTTGACTTCGCACACAGTCATTGCAATGTGCTTTGTAAATTATGTTATTTTGTCTAATTGGGTCAACCTGCAGAATTCTTTCACCTACAGATCTTGTCTTACCACAGTGAGTTTGTAGGTTTAAATGCCACTCTAATTCCTGCTTTATTGAGAATCCTACGTAAGATCACGGACATAACCTACTTATATGGTCTAACTGTAGATGCCTTATATTCTTTCTTACTTACTTATGTTATCGTTATTAGTTTCACCATTATTTCATTTTGTTTTTGACCTTTGGTGACCCTATTACCGAATTTGATAGGATAGTTATTTGACACCAGGTCTTCTTCTATCTGTTTTATTTCGTCATTTAGGCCTTTTCTTTACTGCAGAGTGCTACTGCTCGATTTGCTAGATACTAAATTAAGCCCGCCTTCACAGATAGATAACGGATGAGACGAATTGAAGTCTAAATATCTGTTAGAATGAGTTGGTTTTTATTGAACGCTATTGTGAACTTTGCCTTCTTCTGTCTGTTTTATTTTACAATCTTACGAAGTTGATTTCCCTTGTTCATTTTTGAGATTCAGATGTGAACTTTATTCCCATTTACTAGTGAGCTTATATGTGAAGAAGCTAGAGATATTTTCTGTTTTTAGCACTGTGAAAGTGTCATCCACACATCTCCACCATATTTTTGGAGTAGGATTCACTTTATTCAAAGCAATATTTTCCCAACTGTCCACAAATGTATCAAAATATTTCATACAAACACGTTTTTCATTTAAAGATATTCTGTTTTTGACATATCACTAAGCCACCTGAAGGTTTAACACAAACAAACTGCTATATAACCACTTTTAAATATATTCAATAACACTATTTGTCACTTTGTAACTTTTAGGTAACATTCATCGTAGTGAATCAAATCAACTGGTCAATGAAGAAATAGCTCCGTAATAAGATCGATATTTGATTTAATCCATTGATATCTTGATTATTTACTTTGATTGACTGCATGAAATCTAATTATACCATGAATTTGATTCGAATACCTTTCATAACTTTCTAATAGACTATTTCCTCATCTTATATACAATAAACATTTTTGAATGAAAAACAACATATTTTTCTAAAACCAGCATATCTTTTAAATAAAGTTGGCTCAACTGATAGTAAAACACATATATGAAGTAAAAATTTGGATCGCCACAAGATCCAAGACAATGGCTGCTGGATTACTTAATTGTTGCCATTCCAGATGAGACATGAGACCACTGGGTGTTATTGACTACGGTTCTGTGGATATCAAGGCATTCAGTATCTTGACTATCTTGAGGGTCTTCTATTTCTGACGTGCAATCACCTGCTTATATTGATCCAATGAATGACCACTCTTTACTCCGCCACCTATCTATCTACATATTCATTTCAGCTTGACGACTAAACTGGTTCCAAACGCGACTATCATCACTTATCTGTAAATTCGAAGTAATCAGGCTTCACATGCACTTACAAAGCCAACATTTCAAATCACCTGGCAAGATTTCCTTAATATTAGGATTTCATTTCGACTTCACTTATCTAAAGCCTCAAAATCTGACTGCCTCTCCATGCGTTCATCACTTAAACTAATTATGAGCAGCATGAAAATCCGACTGCAGCTAAATAACACACTCTACAACTGCACGGCGGCATGTACGAACACTGCCTAGTGAATAAGAAAGCAATGATGTGAGAAACTGCATTCCAGATAACCGATTGACTTCACTGTTGCAGTATGGTTGACAATAATCTCATAACGCCTCATCAGTTTTAAACAAACCTATGACCTTTACTTGGTTTTCAACTGCTGAAACCAGTTAAGGATTGTTTATTCGTGAACTGGAACCCAACCCCTGTGTTACCAAGAAGCAAATACATCCCTTTTGTAGACGCTGACTTTGACTATATCTCCTCCTTTATCATTATTTTACTATTTGACTATTTACTATTGTCTCCTTCTTTACTATTGTTTTTTGCTGTTGAGGATTTCACTCAAGAGGTTTAGTTAATTAGTGATTCTGTGGTCAAAAATGTCATCATCGCTGAATGTGGTCTGAGTAAAATTTTACTTTATCCTCACTATCCACAATTTCCATTAATCCTTCCATTATTTCGGAATATTTTTATCACATACCATAGCCTACTAGTTACTTTTATCAGTAGGTTGTACGTGTTTGCCAATAAATGGCATATGAATGGAAGTAGACAACTAGGTGAATGAATTTGACTAAAAATACTTATTTATATCATAATCCTGGTCTCATCATGGTTCCAAATCACTAAAGAGTCAGTAAGAACCACTTTAGTGGTGATTTGATCACAGTGTTAGAGCCCATGGCTCTTGAATTCTAGCTTCTGTCTACTGACGAATATCTTTGATAAACGCCTACATCGTACCGTATAAAAATGAAAAAACAGGTTGTATACTCCCCTAGGATCTGCATTGTTCTTGACTTTTTCCAACTCCTTAAACATTGCCACTCATATAGTGCTTACAAAAGAACTGATTCGACTTATAACTGCATTTATAGACAAGTCGCCAACATCACTCACCAGCAGCTGCAGGTATTTTTAGTTAGCTAGTTTTAAATAAGACGAAATGCACATACTGGATTCCAATGCTAGTTACCACTAATCAAAATGACATCACGTTAACCCGCATACATCATCGAATCATCCTCACTAGCAACCAACAAGTAAACAGAAGCCGAACATTTTGGTTCCCTCAGTTTACGGGATACATAAAACTGACTTAAACAGTGTAATCGTCGAAGATATTGGGTAGTGGTCGTGCTATGTTGTGAATTGGCAGAAGTTAGAATTCATGGACCACTGGATCAAGTCCCAGTGGCTTAAACGTCTTCGATCTCACCCTGTAACCAGAATTCCTGGGTTCGAACCCCAGTGAGCACGTCCTGTTGAAGCGTCACAGACTAGGACGGCCGTCCAGTACTCCCAGGTTTTCCAATGGTTCTCTAACCAATCTCAGCTCATGCTGAAATACTATAACCAAATAAGTCCCCACAAATAAACACTTGAACGTGATTTTGTTACTTCTTATCAGCGTTTCTAATTACATTTTAAAACTGTTCAGGGTATAAATCGATTACTGATCTGTTTATAAGAATTAATGTTCAAGTGCACAAAATAAAAAAAATAAAGCTATCAAAATTATACAAGTGTTTACATAACAATACTAGAGACTCTAGCCTTAATAGTAAATAGTATGGTTAATTACGCTGTTACCTTTATCACTACCATCCATCGTTATCACTTTATGTTATAATGTTTGTTTCACAATCTTTTATAAAATCAAGTATTCTACTAGCTAAGTTCTGTAAAGCATTAGTTGTGTTCTTCACTACACCAACATCTATACACAATGATTTGCTGCCTGGATTTTTAAGAAAGTATGGTTTTGTTAATGTTATTATTATTATCAACACTCTGAGTATTTCGACTTGAACTTTGATTGTATTCACCACTTTGAAATGAAATTCATATTCCAAATAATCTCAGTATGTTATTTATGAAGCCTGATGAGATAATGCCAGAAACGCGCATTTAATCGATTGGATTTCATTAGGATGTGAAATAATTTGGAAAGCAACTGGGACACATTCGAATATTACATATTTCACTATGGGTTTTTCTTTCAATCTTCATTGATCGTCTTATATCTTATTGATTTGTAGCAAATCATTTAGTTTAACTTGATACATAAAGAAGTTAAGACTTTGTGGCACAACTGAAACCCGTTCTTTAAAATGTATCGATCAGTGTTTTCGACCTGTATTCTACACTGGGTTTCTTGAAAAATCACCGTTTCATTTTACATGGGCCTTTTAATACTGTGTGTCTTTGACTCAACTAACAGATACTGTGGTGGATAGACATTTGAATTCTTGCTACTGAGTGGCTACAGTCATCTTCTCTGATAATAGACACCCTCTTTATTTGCAAATTTTTCAAATTGTTCTTTAACAACTTACTAACTATTCATGTTTTCTAACAATACTTTCTTACTGTTCCTCATTATTCTATCTTGAGGGGCTTCTTGAAAAAGATTACGTTATATCACATTGAACTTTGAAGGCTGTAAGTAGAGGTACTTAAATTAACCCGCCTACTGACTGTCACAGGACTGTCTTGGAATTTCGGTATTTATTTAGATTTAAATCAAATTTATTTATACGTAAAAGGGAATAATTTATTGCAACACTTGAAATGCTGTAATTCCCATTCTGTTGTTTTGAATCAGATGACTAGTATTGCCTTTACTAATTTGTTGTTTCAGGACTCAAGTGAAAAGTGTGACTGAAATTTTTCAGATGCTTTAAACAGCTGTTCGAGCAAAGGAATCAGTAAAAGATTGAATGTTTCACGTAGATGAGTAAAATATCAGCTGCTTAGAAGAAAGGGGCCATTATTTCCAAAATGATTCTTTTTTAATTACCTTCATATGACCTCTCCAAAGTTCACATATCAATTCATCTACCCAAGTGAATCCAGTTAAATATATATATGTGTATATATACATCGTTTTACGCGCATCCCCTCAAAACGGGTCACAGAACCCTATCCAGAGTGGGAATAATTCGGTAAGAGGCACTAGTCGGCAACTGTCACAGCTTTTAAATTGTTTTATATATCCAAATCAATTATAAAGTGAACGAAAATCTACTAAAGGCAGTATGTTCCCCGCGATCCTTGTACTGTGAAATCCTTCGCTGTCAGAATACAGATGTCAGATTAGCGCTGAACAGAAACCGGTCCAATTCCTGCATATGGATTACTGTTGGAATTCGAACAGTGGTGTGAACAAGGGTAGTAATTTTGCTCGAAATATTACCACTAACAAAACAATCATTGTGTGTGAAATATTGAAATATAATTATACTTTATTTAATCTAATCCACAATGCCCAAACTTTTTACTGATATTAATATCAGTAGAGTTCACAACAAACGCAACATCAGATACACTAAAAAATGACGTGGTCGTTGTAAAAGACCAAATTACAAAGGATTTACAGTCAAATTGTTTCTTTAAAATAAAGTGCTTGGAATGTGATATGATATATATCGGAAAAAGCAAGACCAGAAGATCACTGAGAAATCTAGCTGAACTAGAAAAGGTTGTAAAGCTCTTAACAAATTTTTTAAATGCTATCGAATCAGGTGAAAAAAATTGACTTTGACAATAATGAAATCATTCAGAAAAATTTCAGAAATCACAAAGAACGCCTCATATCAGAAGCACTTCTTCATAAATGGAATATGAATTGTACTAACAGAAATGATGGACTGAGATGGAATTTAACGTGATAGCAACCCATAAACACACCCCTTCTATCAAGTTAAAAGGTCAACACAGATGTGATAAGGAATTTTCGCTATGTAAGCGCTAGTTGTTTTGATAATTTTTTACACTTATCAAATCCGGTAATCTGGACTTGACCAGCTTGACAAGGCGAAAACCAATTCATGTTGAAGAAAGATGATTAAGTTACTGTATGTAAGCTGAGATTTTGTAAATTCTGGTTTCATAACAGCTTGATAAAACTGTAAGCATTAAACAGCGAAACGCTGGTAAAAGCAATATCGTTTTGTTTTTCATTCATTGAGAAATACAAAAGCTTTTACAAAAATCATCGACTTAACTATAGAGAATAAATGTAGGGATTCAACAAAAAATGCGTCTTGCCATTGAACGTCTTATTGGATTAACTCAATACCTCAGGACAGTTCTCCTTAAAGAGGCTGGAGACCAGAAGAAATATTGCGTATACAAGCACAAATATATCCACAAGGCTACATGGGTGTCACCAGACGGGCAAACCAAAAACCAAATCGACTTCATCTCAATCTCAAGGAAGTGGAGGCGCAGCCTACTGGACACAAAAGC